ATAGGTGGACGTCTCAATTCTATCCAAAATTTTGAACGGTCTGATAAACCAAGGATTCAACTTTCCCCTCTTCCCAAACCTAGTGATGCCCTTTAAGGGGGTCACATTAAGGAAGACTTGATCACTTGTCTCAAATTCTAAATCCTTCATTCGTGTATCTACACAACTCTTCTATTTATTTTGAGCTATTTGGATGTTTTTTCTAATTTTGACAATTTTCGGTATGGTATCCTCTACAAGGTATGGGTTAAATAATTTTCTATTACTACTTCTTCCCAATAAACCAGTGATCTACAAGGTCGATAATATAATACTTCATACAGAGTCATACCGATGTTTGTCTGGCAACTGTTATTGTAGGTGAACTCTATCAGGGATAAGTGATCATCTCAGTGTCCTCCGAAATCTAGGGTACAAGCCCTGAGCATGTTCTCTAGTGTTCGAATAATTTTCTCTGATTGTTTGTCCATTTGAGGGTGGAAACTCATACTGAGTGGTAATTTGGTCCTTATTACTTGCTGAAAATTAGTTCAAAACTTAGAAGTAAACTTGGGGTCTCTGTCTGATACCACTGTTATTGAAATCCCATGCAGTCTGACTATCTATCAAATGTAAATTCTAGCTAACTTGTCAAAATAGTCTGTTACTCTAATGGCTAAAAAGTGAGAGGACTTAGTGAGACGATCAACTATTACCCAAATCACATCATGACCAGAATGTGCCTTAGATAATCTCGTTACAAAATTCATGATGATATGTTCTCATTTCCATTTTGGGATCAGTAGCGGCCAAAATAGTTTGCATGGGCATTAATGCTCTATCTTAACCTGTTGATGTGTGAGACACTTAAAGACGAAATCATCAACATCCCTTTTCATCTCGCTCCACCAAAATTGGGGTCGTATGCTTTGGTATATCTTGGTACTTCCTAGGTGCATGGTGAACTTCAAAATGTGAGTCTCTGTTATGATGTCTCTCTTCAAACTGCTATCACTAGGAACACACAAACTATCTTGAAACTTGAACAACCTATCTGTAGAAACCCATAACTCTGGATTCAAACCTTGTTATGTCTCCTTCCTGCGGACTACTAGAGTGGAATCAGCTAGCTGAGCCTCCTTTATCCTCTAGATTAACTCGGGTCGAACTGTTAAGTGAGATAGACATGAGGCTCGTTCTAAGTCTTAAAGTTGTATTCGATGTGTGGCCTTTATCATTTTGTATTCGGATATGATCATATAAACTAATATACCTGCACTCTTCCTCCTGAGAGCATCGGCCACCACGTTACCCATGTCTGGGTGGTACAAGATCTTATAATCATAATCCTTGATAAGTTCTATCCAATGCCTCTAACGCATGTTAAGATCTTTCTAGCTGAATATGTACTTTAGCCTCTTATGATCTGTATAGATGTCAAACATCTCTCCATACAAGTAATGGTGCCAAGTTTTCAAAACGTGTATGATTGTGGCAAGTTCCTAATCGTGAGTGAGGTAATTTTTTTCATGTTTTTCAATTTCTTGGACCCATAAACTATGACCTTTCCATGTTTTATCAAAATACAACTCAAGCTCTGGTAGGATGCGTCACTGTATACTGTGTACCCACTTATTCCATTTGGTAGAGCCAACACTAGTGCGGTGGTCAATCGCCCTTTGAGTTCTGTAAAGCTCCTTTCACATGTCTCATTCCACTCAAACTTGACATTTTTATTGGTGAGTCGTGTCAGAGGGAATGCTATGCTTGAGAATCCTTCCACAAATCTACAGTAATAACTTGTCATACCCAGGAAACTCCTAACTTTCTTGACCGTAATAAGTTGTTTTTCAACCCGTCATTGCCTCAATCCTGTCGGGGTTCACTGATACCCCTTCTTTCAATATTATGTGTCATATAAAGAAAGTTTGCTCAAGCCAAAATCTATATTTACTCAACTTTGCATATAGTTTCTTTTTCCTAAGAGTCTGTAAGACTTGGGTCAAATGTTGAGTGTGTTATTCCCTATTCTTAAAGTAAACTAGGATATCATCAATAAAAACTATAACAAATTGATCCAACAATGGCCTTAAGCTCCTATTCATCAAATTTATAAAGATTGTGGGTGTATTAGTCAATCCAAACAGTATAAC